TTTTCATAATTGATAGAATCTGATACTTACTCCAAAGAAATATTTTTGCTTAATTAATTAAGTTTCTATTGCTAAGCAATATTCATCTAGCATTCTTTCTAAACTAATTGCTATTTATTTTTCCGAAATTAATAGCAGTTATATGCTATATATTCTTATTTATTATAATTATAGCAAGTAATATTGTTCTTTTTGCTATATTATTTATTAGCTATATTAAGTTCTATGAAACTAGCGTATATAGTACTGCTTTAAGCTATACTGCTATATTAACTGCTATTCTTATTTTGAAGTTTCTTGCTTATATTAGCTAGAAATCTTTAAGTTTAGCTTTCTTTCTTCTTAAATTTCTCTATCTATTGTTTATATAGATAGTTATTAATGCAGATAGCTTAATTAGAGAATATTGCAAAGTTCTTCAGCTAATTCTGCTTGAAGATTTCATTTTTAATATTATTCTTAAATCCCTTGTAATAATGCTTTATAAGATTCTTATCTTCCTATAGAAATTATACTAAGAATTGCTTAAATCTAATTATATAAGCAGAAGCTAATTTAGTTTGCTTAAGATTTATAAGCTGCTAAGCTATAATACATTCTTTATTGAAATTATTAAAGATTTTCTTAAAAGCTTTTTTAAAGCTTTCAAAAGAATTAAACATATTCTTAGTAATCTGAATATGCATATCAGAATTATTCTAATGCTCTAAGTAATTGCATAGAGAAAGCTTATACTAGATAAAAGCATTCTTTTCGAAATGAGTTCCTGCAAGAATAACTTTCTCAAATTCCTTAGTAAACTAAGTTTTGTAATGCAGAAAATACACTCTGCAGTAGATAAGGAATCTATACAGTATCTTTTGATTGCTATTATATATAGCAAGCTTATTCATCTTGTATGCTTTTCCAGTGCTACTGATAATTGCAGAAGTAAACTGCATCTGCTAAGCTTATTAAGCTAGCTAAGCTTGTTAGTTAGCGATAATAGCGCTCTGAGCCTGCTATTATTTGTGCAGATTCTGAATATACTGAATAAGCTAATACATCTAGTTAACCAGTTCTTTCTAAGTAGGAGTGCGCAAGGATAAAGGGATTCCTAGAGAAGCTATCGTATTCTATATTGCTCAAAGGGATAATACTAAACCGTTCTTGAACAAGAGTTGTTAAAATGTAATAAGCACTGCAGCAATCCGAAGATTCCTAAGTATACGAGAAGTTTATACTAACAAGAGCAATATCAGAATATCAAGTTCTTGAATACGGAATCATACAAATCCTAATAAGCGATATAAGTATTCATTGCTTTTGGAGCTATCAGAGTAAGAAAGAGTAATCTGATACTTAGATTAACAACTAAAGAGCTATATACTGAATCCATCTAATGGTAATGAACGTGTTCTTATATATATATCCAGCTCTTCAGTACGGCTCGTTGAGATTGCTGGCGAGTCTAGCGATCCAAGGTGTGAAGCTCGTTGGGATCGCTAGCGAGCTTAACGATCCTCCCTTCTTTACAACCCTAACCCTGGGTTATGTAATCAATGCTTTGTCAGAACGTTGGATTCTTAATACCTAGTTCTTGTTACTCGTGACTTGTTTTCGTGATCTGTATGTTGAATGGGTTATAACAAATAAGGAAAAGCTTCAGAATATGAATTATGAACTTATACGGAAAAAACCTCGAAACTAGGCTCTTGAGCGCTCAGTCCAGCTCGGAGCGAATGCTTAAGGCTCTTAAAAACGTTGCTAAAAATAACGAATGAAAAGAAGCATGCTTAATAGTATCTACTATTTCTTTAAATAGCAGAAACAGTACAGAGATCAGAATCAATACTTGCGAACATATTATAAGAATATTATAAATTCAAGAAACTGTTCCAGAAAGAATTGAATATAGAATTGCTAGAATATAGCTTATATAATTACGAAATCTTACTATAAGAAGGAAAATAATTCAAATTCTTCCCTATTTACAGACTAAACAAAGCATAGCTAGAAATACTTAGGAAATATCTTAATGAGAATCTTAAGAAAGAATATATATAATTATTGCAATTATTAGCAGAATATTCTATTCTATTTATATCTAAGAAAAACAGCAAGCTTAAGCTATATATTAATTACAAGCAATTCAATAATATTATAATTAAGAACTAATACTCGTTGCTACTTATTAAGGAATTATAAGATAGATTGCAAGGAGTATAGTGATTTACAGTTCTGAATCTGAAAGAAGCTTATAATTTAATTAGAATAAAGAAAGAAAAAGAATGAAAAACTACTTTCAGAATATGCTATGAATACTACGAATATTTGGTTATGCTCTTTAATCTAATGAATACTCTAGCTTCATTTCAGGAAATGATCAATTATATTCTATATAAGCATCTGAATCAGTTCATTATTGCTTATTTTGATAATATTCTTATCTACTCTTGAATACTTGAAGAATATAAGAAATATATAGAAATAGTATTGCAAACGCTTTAAGATGCAAAACTCCTTATAGAATCTGCAAAGAATTACTTTTATATACAAAAAGTTAATTATCTTGGATTTATAATCAAGCTAGAATATATTAAGCTATAGAAAAACAAGATAGAAGCTGTTAGGAATTAGCCAGTTCCTAAGAATATTAGAGATATTAGATTTTTTCTTGAATATATTAACTTCTATAAGCAGTTTATTAAGAACTACAGCTAGATTGCATATTCTCTTACAAATCTTATTAAAAGAAAGCAGCTCTTTAAGTAGATTCTTAAAGCATAAGAAGCTTTCGATAAGATTATCAAGTATATTATCTTAGAGCTAATTCTATATAAAGCAAATCCTTATAAACTCTTTGAAGTTAAAACTAATGCATTAGAATATATATTCGAAGAATAACTTAGCTAGCGAAATGATTAAGAGTATTTAAGGATTATAAGCAACTTCTTAAAGAAGTTGAATAGCTCGGAAATCAATTACAGAATTCCTAATTAGAAACTCATAGCAATAATAAAAGCTTTCGAGAAGTAGTAATATTATTTCATTAGTATATAATATTCGATTATAGTTTATTTGAATTATAAGAATCTGATTATATTTATAATAATTAAGATTTTGAATAAGCAATAAGTTAGATAAGCAGAATTCTTCTTATAATTCGATTTCAAGATTATATACTGCAAAGGCTTAGAGAATGAATAAGCAGATGCTCTTAGCAGAAGATTAGATTATTGAGATGCAAACTCTTCGAATATATAGAATATCTTTACTTAAGATAAATTAGAAAATTTCGTTTATGCATATAAAGAACTGAATACTGCTCTTAGAATAAGATTCTTAGAAAAGAATCTAGAATTAATAATTCCAGATAAATAAGATAATTATATTAAGAATATATATAGTATATCAGTATATAGATATCAGAGAATTAGAGCAATCTATAAATATATTAGAAGATATTAAAATCTATTAAGCTTTAGAAAAAGAATTGAAAACATTTTATAATAATATAATAGCTGCAAAAAGAATAAAGCAGAAAGATATAAGCTTTATAAACTATTGTATTCCTTATTAGTATTTATAACTATTTAGCAATTTATTAGTTTAAACTTTATTATCAAGCTACTCTTCTTATAAGAATTCTTAATTAAGATATAATATAATAGCATTCTAGTAGTGATTTATAAACTGAGTAAGTATGCTTATTTTCTTCTTTATAAGAAAAGCAATATAGTAGAGGAACTTGTATATATATTCCTTAGAATAATTATTGCTAATTATAGCATGCTAGAGAAAGTAATCTCTGATAGAAATAGAAAGTTTAACTCGAAGTTTTGAACTTTGCTTATAAAATAGCTTGAAATATACTACAGAATGTTTATAATATTTTACTTATAAACAGATGAATAAATGAAAAGAATAAATCAAGTTATTAAATAATATCTATAATACTATATTAATCAGAAATAGAATAACTGAATTAATCTATTGCTTCTTGCACAGTTTGCTTATAATAGCGCAGATATAAGTATAATAAAGAAATTGCTATTCTTTATACTCTATAAATATAATCTAATAGCTTATTATAAGATACTACTAAAAGCAGATGCAGAAGCTGCAGATAAAAGAGTTAAGAAAATTAAGAAAGTTTAGAAAAAATTCCGATTAGAATTATAATTCATTCAGAAACAAATAGCATATTATATAAACTCTAAAAGAATTGAAAAACCAATTCTATAGAAAGGAAATAAGGCTTATCTACTTCGAAAAAATATTAAAATAATTAGATTCAGCAATAAACTTAATTATAAAAAGTTGGAATTATTTAAAATCTTATAATAAATCTTCTCAATTAATTATAAGTTAGCATTATTTTATAAAATAAGAATATACTTAGTTTTCCATATCTTATTACTGAAACTAGCAATATAAAAAATATTAATAAATAATATAGCAGAAGTAGAAAATAATAAACTAGAATATAAAGTAGAAAAAATCCTTAGATATAAAAGTATAGATAATACAAGGAAATATCTTATTAAGTAGAAAGATTATTCAGCAAGTGAAAATTCATAGGAACTACAGAAGAATATTGAAAATGCTTAGGAAAAGGTAGCTGAATATTGGAAAAGGAAAGCTAGCATTTAAGATAATTGCTTCGCTCCGAACTGAGATCCAGAAGCTTCAGAGATCTCGCTCTCCAGAAAACCCGACTAATCTACTACTGCATTCCTTATATTTACGGAATTCCAGTTAAAACTCTTAAAAGAAGAATCTCTAGCAATTATAGCAGATTCCTCTGCAACTACAGAACGAACTCCGGCAGCAATGCAAGCTTGCTTCTTCTTAGCTTTCTTACATTCCAGCTTCTTCATATTATTAATATTCCGACGAACAGCGCATATCATCTTTTCATATTATATCCTTTTCTGCTTGCGCAGCTTAAGGAGTTTAGCATTCAGCTTAGCAGCTTCCTCTTCGATTGCTTCCATCTCTGCTTCCAGGCAATAATGTTAAGCGATTATGCGATTCAATTGTGCAGGCATTAGATTACAAACATTGCAATTCGATAAACTCAGATGTATATAGGTCTGATAATGGGAAGATTCGGATTCGGCAATCTTATACTCAGCTGAAAGATTGTAATCTTCGCAGTATGAGCAAGGCATGAGCGAAAGGGAGCCAAAGGTAGCTATAGCAGAAAGAAGGGATGATTTCTGTGAAGAATGAGAATAAGGCTTAGCAATACGATGAGAACTGATTCTGCTCGATATGATAAATCAGGAAAGTATGATCAATGCTATCAGAATAAGGAATAACTTATGAAAGAACTTTCGGAACGAAAGACTACAGAAGGAAGATAATGTTATAAACTAACACTGCCAACACCAAGCAAGGTTACAAGAACAGGCTAATAGGAACCAGCAGAGCTGAAACACGTTACAAGGAACCAACCGAAGATTATATAATCAAGAGTTAGGGTTATTAGCAGATAAATATAGTCGATATCTATTCTGTTAACGAAGAAATCGATGGAATTAACATTGATCCTATCTATCCGAACTGAAGAATCAAGTATATGAAGGTTTACATTTCCTACTGTTAGATAGATTTCCTTCAGATAGTTCTTCAGTTGTTAATCTAAGTATTCAGTTTTCTATATTGAGTAGCTTCAAAGGCAGTGAATACTTGCATCGCTCATCAGAACTTGTACAGTTCCGTATTCAAGGACTTGATACTTTGATACTGCTCTTGTTAGCATAAACCTCTCGTGTACTTAGGAATCTTCGGATTACTGCAGTGCTCATTACAAATAAGGAAAAGCTTTAGAAAGTGAATTATAGATTTATACGAGAAAAACCTCGGAATTAGGCTTTCGAGCGCTTAGTTCAGCCTGAAGCGAATGCTCAAGGCTCTCAAAAATATTATTAAAAACAATAAACGAAAAGAAGCATACTCAATAGTACTTATTATTCCTTCAGATAGCAGAAATAGCATATAGATTAGAATTAATATTTGCAAACATTCTATAAGAATATTACAAGTTCGAGAAACTATTTCAAGAAGAATTAAATACAGAATTATCAGAATACAGCTTATATAATCACAAGATCTTACTATAAGAAAAGAAATAGCTCAAATTCTTTTCTATTTATAAACTAAATAAGATATAACTAGAAGCGCTTAGAAAGTATTTCAATGAAAACTTCAAAAAGAGATATATACAACTATTGCAGTTATCAACAGAATATCCTATTCTATTCATATCAAAAAAGAATAGCAAGCTCAGACTATATATTGATTATAAGCAACTTAACAATATTATAATTAAAAACTAATACTTATTATTACTCATTAAGAAATTACGAGATAAGCTATAAGAAGTATAATAGTTTACAGCTCTAGATCTAAAAGAAGCTTACAATCTGATTAGAGTAAAGAAAGAAGAAGAATGGAAAACTGCTTTCAGAATATGCTATAAATACTATAAATATTTAATTATGCTCTTCAGTTTAATAAACATTCTAGCTTTATTTCAGGAAATAATCAATCATATTCTATACAAGCATCTGAATCAGTTCATTATTGCTTATCTCAATAATATTTTTATTTACTCTCGAATATTGGAAGAATATAAGAAATATATAGAAATAGTATTGCAAATACTCCAGAATGCGAAACTTCTTATAAAATCTGCAAAGAGTTACTTTTATATACAAAAGATTAACTATCTCGGATTTATAATTAAGCTAGGATGTATTAAGCTACAGAAGAGCAAAGTAGAAGCTATTAGAAACTGATTAATTTCTAGGAATATTAGAGATGTTAAGTTTTTTCTCGAATATATCAACTTCTATAAGCAGTTTATTAAGAATTACAGCTGGATTGCATATTCTCTTACAAATCTCATTAAAAAAAAGCAGCTTTTCGAATGAATCTTCAAAAAATAAGAAGCTTTCAATGAGATTATTAAGCGTATTATCTTAGAATCAATTCTATATAAAGCAAACTCTTATAAATCTTTTAAAATTAAGATTAATATATCAGAATATGCATTCAGAGAATAATTCAGTTAATAAGATGATTAAGAGCGTTTAAGGATTATAAGCAACTTTTCAAAGAAGTTGAATAGCTCAGAAATTAACTATAAAATCTCTGATTAGAAACTTATAGCAATAATAAAAGCTTTTAAGAAGTAGCAATACTATCTTATTAGTACATAATACTAGATTATTGTTCATTTGAATTACAAAAACTTGATTACATTTATAATAATCAAAATCTTGAATAAGCAACAAATTAGATAAGCAGAATTCCTTTTATAGTTTAACTTTAGAATTGTATACTGCAAAAGCTTAGAAAATAAATAAGCAAATGCTCTTAGCAAGAGAATAGATTATTAAGATATAGATTTCTCAGATATACAGAACATTTTTGCTTAAGATGAGTTAGAAAATCTTATTAATATATATAGAAAGCTGAATGCTATCTTCAGAATTGAATCTTCAGAAAAGAATCCAGAATTAATAACTCTAGATAAACAAAACAGCTATATCAAGAATGTATATAGTGTATCAGCATATAAGCATTAGAGAGTTAGAGCAATCTATGAATATATTAAAAGATACTAGAATTTATTAAGCTTTAGGAAAAGAATTAAAAATATTTTACAATAATATAATAGCTATAAGAAGAATAAAGCAGAAAGATATAAGCTTTATAAACTACTGCATTTCTTATTAGTATTTATAATTATTTAGCAATTTATTAGTTTAAACTTTATTATTAAGCTATTTCTCTTATAAGAACTCTTAATTAAAATATAATATAATAGCATTCTAGTAGTAATTTGCAAACTGAGCAAGTATATTTACTTTCTTTTCTATAAGGAAAGCAGTATAGCAGAAGAACTTGCATATATATTTCTCAGAATGATTATTGCTAACTATAGCATACTAGAAGAAGTAATCTCTAATAGAAATAGAAAGTTTAATTCAAAATTTTAAACTTTGCTTATAAAATAGCTTGGAATACATTATAAGATATTTATAGCATTTTATCTGCAAATAGATAAATAAATAGAAAGAATAAATTAGATTATCAAATAATATCTTCAATACTATATTAACTAGAAATAGAATAATTAGATTAATCTATTGCTTCTTGTACAGTTTGCTTATAATAATACAGATATAAGTATAACAAAGAAATTATTATTCTTTATACTTTACAAATATAACTCAATAGCTTATTATAAAGTATTATTAGAAGCAGATATAAAAGCTGCAGATAAAAGAGTTAAGAAGATTAAGAAAGTTTAGAAAGAATTCTAATTAGAATTATAGTTCATTTAGAATCAAATATTACAATATACAAACTCTAAAAAAATTGAAGAACTAATTCTATAGAAAAAAGATAAGATTTATTTACTTTAGAAAAATATTAAGATAATCAAGCTTAGCAATAAATTTGATTACAAGAAGTTAGAACTATTCAAAATCTTATAAAAGATTTTTCTAATTAATTATAAATTAGTATTATCTTATAAGATGAGAATATACTCAGTTTTCTATATCTTACTGCTAGAATCAGCAGTATAGGAAATACTAATAAATAATATAGCAGAAATAGAAAACAATAAATCAGAATATAAAGTAGGGAAAATTCTTAAGCATAGAAGTACAAATAATACAAGAGAATATCTTATTAAGTAGAAAGATTATTCAGCAGATGAAAACTTATAAGAATTACAGAAAAATATTAAGAATGCTTAGGAAAGAATAGCTAAGTATTGAAAGAGAAAGGAAAACCAGCACTTAGGATAATTGCTCTATTCCAGACTGAGATCCAGAGATCTCAGAAATCTCACTCTCCAGAAAATCCAACCAATCCACTACAGAATTCCCTACATCTACAGAATTCCAATCAAAACTCTCGAAAGAAGAATCCCCAGCAACCACAGCAAATTCCTCTGCAATCACAGAACGAATCTCAGCAGCAATACAAGCTCACTCCTTTTCAGCCTTCTTACATTCCAGCTCCTTCACGCTAGAAAGACTTCAGCAAATAGCTTTTATTATTCTCTCAAACTATAAATGCTTCTGCTTCCGCAAGCGCTCTATCTCTATAGCAGCATTATATAGCTGCTTCTTAGCACTCTCGAATTAATTCTTTAGATACTAATATTGAATGCCTATTCAGCAAATTTCCACTACACTCAGCCTCTGAACATTGCACTAAGAGCAGCTTAAGCAAATACATTCAGCACAACAGAAGAAATCCTCAATAGAAACTTAATAGAACTGAATACTATAATTCTTGCAAAAAGAATAGAAAAGCATAGTAATAGCGTTTTTGAGAATTAAGAAGAGAAGGGAATTCTTTTATTTAGTTTTCTCGAACTGAGAATGAGATTTATTAATTCTGTTCAACATCTCAATTAGAAAGATAAGATTATATATACAGAGAACTTATCAGAATACTTACAAAAGATTGTTAAGAGCAATAACTAATAAAAGGGAGATGATATTATAATTCATTCAACATGCAGATTACAAAATAGATTATAAGCAATAAGAACTAGATATTAAGAATCCAATATTCTAATAAAGCATTGATTATATAATCCAGAGATAGGATTATAAGCATAATTAATTAGAAAGAATAGCTCTGAATATATGCTATCCAGAGCTAATAGAATAACTTGAATATGCTGCTATTCAATATATTCATACTAAAGAGCTGAATATATAACTATACATTTCTTATTCTTAGATAAATTCAATATATAGCTCTTTAGTTATTAATCTAAGTATCAGATTACTCTCTTACTCTGATAGCTCCAAAGGCAGTGAATACTTGCATCATCTCTCAGAACTTGTACAGTTCCGTATTTAAGGATTTGATACTTTGATACTGCTCTTGTTAGCATAAACCTCTTTGTATACTTTGGAATCTTCGGATTACTGTAGTGCTCATTATACTGCAGTATATTATTATATTTTAATAATTCTTATTCAAGAATAGTTCAGTATTACCCTCTTGAGCAATACAGAATACAATAGCTTCTTAAGAATTCTCTTCATTCTTGTACATCCCTACTTAGAAAGAACTGATTAATCAGATATACCAGCTTACTCAGCATATCTAGAATCTGCACAACCAGCAGCAGGCTCAGAGCACTACTATTGCTAACCAGCAAGCTCAGCTAGCTTAACAAGCTTAATAAGCTCAGCAGATGCAGCTTATCTCTATAATTGCTAATAATACTAAGAAAGCATATAAGATAAATAAGCTTATTATATATAATAGCAATTAAAAAATATTATATAAGTTTCTTACTTATTGCAGAGTATACTTTTTGCATTATATAATTCAGTTTACTAAGAAATCTGAGAAAGTTATTCTTGCAGAAACTCATTTCGAAAAGAATATTCTTATCTAATACAAATCTTTTTTATATAACTACTTAGAGTATTAGAATAATTCTAATATATATATTCAGAGCATTAAGAATATATTTGATTTTTTTGCAAGCTTTAAGAAAGCTTTTAAGAAAATCTTTAATAATTTTAATAAAGAATATATTATAGCTTAATAGCTTATAAATCTTAAGCAAATCAAATCAGCTTCTACTTATATAATTAGATTTAAATAATTCTTAGTATAATTTCTATAGAAAGATAAGAATCTTATAGAATATTATTACAAGAAACTTAAGAATGATATTAAAAATAAGATCTTCAAATAGAATTAGCTGAAGAACTTTGCAATATTCTTAAACTAAGCAATCTATATTAATAACTATTTATATAAATAATAAATAAAGAAATTCAAGAAGAAAGAAAGCTAAACTTAGAGATTTTTAGCTAATATAAGCAAGAAACTCCAATATAAGAATAATAATTAATATAGCAGCATAGCTTAGAGTAGCATTATATATGCTAGCTTTATAAAGCTTAATACTGCTAACAAATAGTATAGCAGAAAGAATAGTATTACTTGCTATAACTGTAACAAATAAAAGCATATCTTATATAACTGCTATTAATTCAGAAGAAACAAATAGCAATCTATTCAAGAAGAATACTAAGTAAATATTGCTTAATAATAGAAATTCAATCAACTAAGCAAAAATATCTCCTTAAAGCAAGTATTAGATTCTATTGATTACAGAAGTCTCAGCTGAATATTCTGCTATAATAATAACTGCTTAATATATCTTTCGAATAAGAAAAGCTTAGAATAGTTCTTCTAAAAACTCAGGCGCTACAAGCAAGTAGCAATAGAAAGATGAGAAAATATGCTCAGTATAACTATAAGCAGTAATAACTTAAGT